ATATAAATCAAATTGAAAATGGGACTAAATTTCCATATCTGTGCGATGATTCAACAGCTGCAGAGATTTTTACTGGTAGAGGATTGTACCTGCTTCCCAGTTTCAGCCACACTCCCATGCTGTAGATAAAAGATTGACGTAGCTAATGCTAGCTAGCTTGGTGCATCTATAGACTGCGTGGATGCCTCGCAGAGACATCCTGGTCCTGCTAATTAGTGCTGACATGTAAGATACATTTCACAGAGACAAAAACTAAGAGCAGGCTTAACCACATTCAAATCCATGTTTCTGTTGTTGTTGTTTTTTTGTCAGATGACTATTAAAATGATCCAACAGCAAAAACATGGTCAAGAGGGTTCAGGGCAGTGAATCAGATTAGCTTAGGTGATGCTGATCAGTCATACTTAGATGCTTGTGCCTGTACTTCCCTGTCACTAAAGCAGCCACACCCCTCAACATTCATAACTGAAAGCCTTTAGCAGGTGGTATAGAAATGAATCTCCTTTACAGTTGTTATAAAGAAAGTTTTTGTAGCCAGCCTCAAGTGACCATTTGAGGAACTGCAGTTTTTGGGGTTTTTTTGGGTCCTGCTCTCAATCTTTAGTAGTGTTTCTGACTGCAGGATGAAACCAACTGTTTCCATCTATTTCTCTGTTTATGGTAAGCTACATTATCAGTCTGCTGCAGCTTCATATTTGTCATTCTGTTTCCTTTGCAGAATCAGACTTGGCAAACCTCGGACAGCTGTACCGAGACGACCGCTTAAAGCAGAAGGCGGAGACAATGAGGCTGGAAAACTGTGAGAAACTGCATCGATTGGTTGGGCGTCAGAGAGGAAAATAAGGACTGTCGGAGAGGAGAAAGTGTTTCTTTACAGACTTTACAATAATGTATTTTACCTAAGTGTGTAATTTATCCAATCTGGCCACTTTGTGAAGAAATCTCTTTGGGTACAGCACAGCCAGTGGGAGATCATGCCGCTGGGAACGATGTGCCTTCTCTCCTCGTGTCGATGGTAGAAAGTGAAGTTGCATGTTAGCTGCCGGCCCTAGCTGTGGTGGTAGGTGCGCAGTCACTGTGGAAGCGTGAACGACGTCTCAGAGCCTTTAAACTTTCTTATAGAAATGGCATGACATAAGGGGGCTCCCTTTGGGGTTACAAAGGCAGTTGTATGTTCACACATACATGTTTTATCTGGTTGGGTTTTTTTAGTTCACCTGTATTTATTTAGGATGTTTCTGTGTCCTTGCTCAAATTTTAGGTGTATTTATTTAGTAGATGATAGAAGAAACATCCATTTTTCTTTCCTGTTAGAAATGAAGTACAGTGTACTGTAGTCTTTTATTTTTAGTCTGCAACATTTTATTTATGATTGAAACATAGACAAATCACTCATTTGGACCTCGAGCAATAGGAGGCACAGTAATATTTTACAGAATATGCTGTTTTCTGTTTGTGCTGCCAAAAAAAGGAGCTGCTTCCTACAGCAGAGCTTCAGGCTCCCTGCGTCAGCGCTTGCATAGGTGTTTATTGTGTTGGTCATTTAGAAATGGCATTTCAGCCGAAAGAAAAGGCAGTTCAGTGTTTCTTGCTGTATATGGGGAACCTTCACTATAAGCAGTTTGTACGGTTTTATGGAGTTTAAATGGCTTGCAATACAGTTTTTTGTTTGCTTTCATAACTGCAAGCTCAGATGCTTCCAGACAAATGGGTTTTCAGCTCAAATCTAGATATTTTATAAATCCAATACCCGTAATTTCTTCTGATCTTTTATAACAATAATGATAATTTAAAAATAAACGTAAAAAAAAAGAAAATGTTTCGAAAAACTTCATATATAAGAATTGAATGGCTATGATTAGACAGCCTAATTCGATAGTGGTAACTTCAGTCAGTAGTGGCTGGGTGTTTTTCAAAGAAGCAAGCATGTCTCTTTGTGCTAGCAGTCGTAGTCCTCCGATGCACTGCTGCCTCCCGGTGTCATTTTGTAAATAACGGAGACTGTTAAACTCCTTGGAGACTTTGTTTTCCACAACTAACTTGTGGGTATGATCATTTCATCCAGACAGAAACCAAAACTGGGACTTGTACTTGCCATGGTCTGGTCAAATCACGTCATCACTAAGGGGATTCTAACTTATCGAGCCCGTTAGTTATTTATTTATTTATTTATTTATTTATTTATTTATTTATTTAT